GCCTTCCAAGTAGCTGGAACTACAGGCATGCACTACCATGCCCGGCTATTTTTTTTTTTAATTGTAGAGAAGAGGTGCCAAGTTGCCTGGGTTGGTCTCAAACACGTGGGCTCAGGCAATCTACTTGCCTCGGCCTCTCAAAGTGCTGGAATTACAGGCTGAACCACCAAGCCTGGCACAGTACATCACTTTTTATGGTTGAATAATATTCCATCACTACAGGCATGTGTCACCATGTCCAGCTAATTTTTGGAAGAGACAAAGTTTTTCTATGTTGACTAGACTGGTCTCAAACTTCTGGATTCAAGCAATCCTCCCACCTCGGCCTCCCAAAGTGCTGGGATTACAGGCATGAGCCACCGTGCCCAACCAAGAATGTAATTTATCTGCAGGGTGTTTCCTCTAGACTGCAAATAGGACTTTTCTTAGAACAAAGAGCCTTTGGATTGGTGGTGGTGTCTAAGTTGTCAAGTTGGGCCTTGTCATCATATCAAGAGGCTGCTGCCCCTTGCCCCACCCCCCACTGCCCTGCCCAGGGCTGGAGTCATTTTGCACTGGAAATGGTTAACAGCAAACACCAGACCTGGGATTTGTCTTCTCCAGCCTTGAGTCCTCCCGTATGAAGCAGGGATTTGCCAAGGGAAATAGGGACCCTGGCTGCCTGTGCCCCCACTCTCACCCAAGTTGAGAATGTTATGAATGACCAGACAGGAGGCTTTAGCTAAAATCCGAAGAAAGCAACTGCTGGGATTGAGAGTGTTACAAATGTTCCACAGATCTGCCACACACGGTGGCTCACGCCTGTAATCCCAGTACATTGGGAGGTGAAGGCAAGAGGATTGCCTGAGTCCAGGGGTTTGAGACCAGCCTGGACAACTTGGTGAGACCTCATCTCCACAGTAAACCAAGAAAAATTAGCTAGGCATAGTGGTGCAGTTGTAGTTCCAGTTACTTAGAAGACTGAGGCAGAAGGATCGTCTGAGCCCAGTCGGTTGAGGGTGGCCATGAGCTTGCCACTGCACTCCAACCTGGGCAACAGTGAGACTCTGACTTAATAAATAAATAAATAAATAAATAAAAGGTTTCACAGATCCTAGAAGTTTTACTCTTCTTCTTGGGAGTGACTCTGCTGGTGGGTTTTGCCCACATTGTTCCATCTCTAAATATTGAGTGAGGCAGTTCCGGATTAGAGAAAACCCACATCAGGGTATGCAGCCCTCTTTCGTGGTGTGCAGAAGACTGAGAGCCAGCTTCAGGCTCACAGTCAAGATGTCAGGCTGGCATCCAGGATAAGGCACCGAGGAGACCCCTGGGAGGGCAGTGTGCTCCTGAGTCCCACCCACTCCCTCTGGCCTTGAAGCCTCCAGTCCATGCTTCTGCCCCTTTCTCAGTCCCCAGCCAGGATAGGAACCATGATGCGAGCAGCAGAGGAGACAAGTTTGCAGGGTTCACTCCAGGCCTGGGCTACAGCCGGGTCAAACGCCTGCTTTATTCACACAGGAAACACCCGAGGAGGATCACCCCAGCCTTTCCTCAGTGTGAAGGCAACACGAAGTAAGGCAGGAATCTAAAAAAAAGAACTATTGGATCCAGACAATCTGGAAAGATCTTGCCAAGTCAGCTTAAGACTGGCCAGGGTGAGAGAACAAAACAGGCAACAGAAAAGCCTTCTGAGCCAGTAGGGGGTCTAGCGGAAGTAGTTGGGGCATTTGTGAGCCACCAGGTGCCAGGCTCGATCGAAGGCGTCCATGACAGCCAGCTCCAGGGGCCCCTCCTCTGTTGCTGCCAGGTTCTGCTCCAGCTGCTCCAGGCAAGACATGCCTAGAATGACCGCATCCCCGTGGGCACCCTGCAAAGGAGATAGCCAGATTGCACACATTCTGCTGCACAGCGACTCCACACATACACACTCCCAGCCACACCCCAACCAAGACCTGGGCTCTGTTTAATATATCCTGTATATCCAGAAGGATCTTTAGGTGCCTTCGACAGTTGTAACAATGTGACTTGAAACCTGTATTCTATCCCCTGCTGCCACACGGCTCATCCAGACAGCTCTGCATTTATGGCCCAGTTCTGCCACTTGACAGCTGTGTAAGCATGGCAAAGTTACTAAACCTCTCTGAGACTCAGTCTTCTTCTCTATTTTCAGTGTTGTTATGGGTGAGAAGAAGTAGGGAAAGCATTTAGTTCCCATTTACTGAGCACCTACTATATATATATATATATATATATATATATGTGTGTGCACCAGGCACTATACAATGCGTAAGGCTGGCTGGGCTCGGTGGCTCAGCCTGTAATCCCATGCTTTGGGAGGCTGAGGTGAGTGGATTACCTAAGCCCGCAGGTTCGAGACCTGCCTGGGCAACTTGGCAAGACCTCATCTCTGTAATAAATCAAAAATGAGCCAGGCATGGTATTGCATGCCTGTAGTTCCAACTACTTGGAAGGCCGAGGTGAAAGGATCGCCAGAGCCCAGCAGGTCGAGGCTGCGGTGGCCAGGAGCATGCCACTGCCCTCCAGCCTGGGTGACAGAGTGAGATTCCAACTCAAAGAAAAAAAAACAATGTGTAAGGCTGACGCTGGAGACAAGTTTAATAAGGAAGACAGGGGACACCAAGGAGGGGGAACCCCAGCTTTCACCTAGAGAGTGAGACTTTGCAGTGAAACCTGTGCTAAAATTTCTATCCCCTTAATAGCTGGGTGAGCTCCAATTTCCTCATCAGTGAACCTGGGGTGACCACATTTCATGAAGCCTGAGGAATAACGGGGTCTATGTCCATAAAGCCCTAGTTACAAAGCCTGGCACTTAGGTGACATCAAAGAACAGTGGGAAGACTGCCTATAAGAACTGGAAGAAAGACGAAGTTCAGAGGAGGAGAGAAAACAAGCTCACTAGAAACCACCTAAAGGTGGCAGAATCTGAGCGCCGGGAGGGCAGGTTACCTGCAGCTGCGAGTGATGGTACATCCATCGGAGAGCAGCCGAGGTCATGTTGGGGGCACTGGCACCATATGTGGCTTGCAGGGCTTTCTCCACCAGGGCAATGGCCTTGAAGTGGTGCTCCTTCCAGAAGAAGCTGGACAGGTGGGGCCAGAGGCACAGGGGTCAGTACCATGGGGTCACACTGGGGGCCACAGCCAAAGAGCCAATCCCTACACCCTGCAGCCTGGAGGGGCCACTGTTCTCTCTAGCCGCTGGTCTCCTGCTGAGCCTGAGAACCACCCAGGATGCTGGCTCCCTCTCCAGCGACGTCAATAACATCTTTATTCCCAAGAACCCACAAACCTGCCCTATGTTCCCTAGGGACACAAAGGCAGCTAAGACACAGCAGGACTCGGCCCCAGGCCTTCCGAGTCTCCATCTAAGCTTCTTTCTCTTCTTCTCGGCAGACGATTTCTCAGGGAAGGGCTATGACTTGGAAGACCCTAAGGTCCTGGGGTCCTCATTTCCTCATGAAGTAAGAAAACAAGAAGCCTGGCTGGGTGCGGTGGCTCGTGCCTGTAGTCCCAGCACTTTGGGAGGCCGAGACTAGAGGATTGCCTGAGCCTGGGGGTTCAAGACCAGCCTGGGCAACTTGGCAAGACCTCATCTCTACAATAAATCAAAAAATTAGCCGGGTGTGGTGGCGCGTGCCTGTAGTTCCAGCTACTTGGAAGACTGAGGTGGAAGGATCGCATGAGTCCAGTAGGTCAAGGCTGTGGTGGCCGTGAACATGCCACTTGCATACCAGCCTGGGCATAAAAAAAAAAGTGTTTGGACATTCCTGAAGAAATCAAGAGACGAAGGGGCAGCCAGCAAGGAAAGGAGAGCAGCCTAGAACTTCATTTCAGATAATGGGGACCCCACCCCATGACTCCTGATGCAAACATCTCCAGCTTACCGATTCCTATAGATCTCAGCCCAGCTATTCCCAAAGAAGCGTCCCTCGGGTTGTTTCCCATCCTTGTCTTCATACCTGTACTTGCTGGTCAGCAAGCCCCCTGTGGGAAGGTTGCAGTCAGCCCTTGATCCAGAATACTCCCAGAGGCTGCCCAGACCCTCAGAGATCTGGATGAGGGAGGAGGGGGAACCCAGGAGGGATGGAGGATGCAGCCCAGTCCCCATCCAATCCCTCCTTGTCTCCCATGTCCTGGGCTGGGCATCTAAGGGCAGGGAATAGGCAGAAACAGGGCCAGGATGCCCTGCCACCCTAGGAGCCTGCCCCCAAGGCAACACGTACCAGCCAAAGGGTTGTAGGCATAGAACCTCAGCCCAAAGTGCCTGAGGCAGGGGAAGAGCTCCGTTTCTACCTGCCGGGTGGTGGCGTTGTACATACCCTGCAGGGAGAGGGGCCAGCGGGAGAGGGTGAAAGTGTCAGGGGAAGGGACCCTAGAATTACCCTATAGAACACTCATTCCAGACCTTAACGATGCTCAAAACTTAGCACTCTGGGCATATATTTAGTGGTAGTTGTGAAGGGGTCTTAGGCACAAGGAAAATTCATTCATTCAACCATCTTTTATGAGCACAAACTACGGACTGCCTGTCAGAAGTAGATCCAGAGGCCAAAAGGACAGGTACAATCGAGTCAAGAGGCAATCATTCACACTAGTAAGACCTGTGGCCGGTGCCTGGCACTGTGCACATGTCTAGCATTTGTTGAATGAATGATGAGGAGGTCAGTGAGGGCCTTTACCTGAGGAGGTAAAGAAAGAGCCTTCTAGAAAGGATCCCAGGGGAAGAGCATCTAAGTGAGACTTGAACGCCTCTCCCAGAGACAAGAGGGAAAATGTTCCAGGCCGAGGTGCACAGCGAGGCAGGGAAGAAAGGGACCAAGGTGCGCACTCTGGCAGGAAGCCGGCAGCACCTGGTGGCCAGGCTGAGGGGCTTTGAGCAGGGGAGGGGCTGCTTGTAGAGGGCACTGGGGATAGTCAGAAGTGCAAAGAGATCCCAGGATGGCTGGAGCCCTGGAAGCCGAGGCCACTGCAGCCCGGCCCTCACCTGGTACACAGTTGGCAGGATCCAGCCATTGCTCTTGCAGAGGGTACAGATCTGGGCCACCTCCCACATGGCATAGTTGGAGAGACCAAGCTCCATGAACTTGCCCTGCAGGGGTGAAGCTGCAGTCAGAACCCATTGTAGCCCAGGAGACCAGGAAGGGGGACGTGGGGGCAGGGGGATCCTGGGAGTGGGGCTGCCCTGATGCCTCTAGTCTCCTGGGTAGTATCAGGATAAATAGAGGAGCAGATCACCTCCCGAGCTCGGGAGGGGTCCCCCACCTCTTGGTACAGTTGGTGACAGGCACGTAGCGTCTCTTCCACTGGGGTGCCATGGTCTGGCATGTGCAGGTAGAGGAGGTCCACTCGGGGACACTGCAGCCTCTTCAGTGATGTCTCCACCTGGGACCGGAGACTGTCAGGCTTCAGTGAGTTGCCATACAGTGGATTGGCCTTGGTAGCAATTTTCACTTTGTGGGAACAGAAATGGAAGTTCAGGCCAGTTTACCAAACATTGGAAGGAGGGGTCTAGTGTAATGTTAAGAGACACAGCTGGGTTCAAATCACAGCTCTGCCATTACTAACTAGCTTTATGGGCTGGGTGCAGTGGGTCATGCCTACAATGCCAGGACTTTGGGAAGCCAAGGCAGGAGGAATGCTTGAGGCCAGGTGTTCTAGGTCAGCCTAGGCAACATAGCGTGGCCTCCTCCCAAAACATACACACAGACAAATAAGAAGCCCCACAGAGCATCTCTGCAAAAACATATTTTAAATTTCTGCATATGGTGGCACATGCCTATAGTCCCAGCTACTCAGGTTGGAAGATAGCTTGAGCTCAGGAATCCGAGGTTGCAGTGAACTATGATCACGCCACTCTAACCTAGGTGACAGAGTGAGACCCGGCTCTAAAAATAATAATAATAAAAATAACATTTGGAATATACTAGTTCTGTGACCGTGACCAAGTTACTTAACCTCTCTGAATCTCAATCCCCTCAACTGTAAAATGAGAGTGAAAATAGTACTGTCTTGTAGGGAGGCCCTCGGGATTGATCCGAATTTGGATAAAAGTGTTAGTTAGGAGCTGATGTCACCACCACGGGGATTATTATGGGGCAGCTCCATGTGCCAGGCCAAATCTCCAAGGGGAAGTCAGAGGCCACCAGCTGAGGAAGGGTGGGAAGCTCAGAGCATGGGGACAAGGGCGAAAGCTCAGAGGCAAGAATGAGTGTGGGAGCCGTGCCTGGGAGTGCACGTTTCCAGAGCACCAGGTGCATGAGGATGCATGGGGCAAAAGGAGAGGCCCAATGGAGTTTGGACTTTGAGGGGCTATGGGGAGCCTCTGAAGGCTCTTAAGACGAGGAGCAAAGTAGTCAGCCTTGTATTTTTTTTCTGTTGTTGTGTTTTGTTTGTTTTTTGAGGCAGGGTCTCACTCTATCACTTAGGCTAGAGTGCAGTGGCCCAATCACAGGTCAACACAGCCTCCACCTCTGGGGCTCAGGCAATCCTTCTGATTCAGCCTCGTGAGTAGGTGGGACTACAGGTGGACACACCATGCCCCACTAATTATGGTACTTTTTTGTAGAGATGAGGTCTCCTTATGTTGCCTAGGGTGGTCTGTAACCTGAGCTCAAGCGATCCGCCCGCCTCAGTCTCCCAAAGTGCTGGGATTACAGACATGAACTACTACACCCAGCCAAGCCTTGTAGATTTGAAAGATGACTCCGAATGCAGCATGGATGGAGAGCAGGTCTGGAAACAGGGAGGCTAGAAAGGAGACTGCAACAGGACTTCGGGAAAGAGATGCAAGAGGCCTTATCTTGGGGCCCTGGGCAGGAAAAGCAGGGGTCACTTAGAGACTCATCCCCAGGAGAAGAGGCCAGTGCTCGGCCATTCAAGCGAGTCGAAAGTGAGCTCAACATTTGTCTCCCTGCCGCCTTAGGAAGAATCATATGTAGCTGGGCTGATGGGAGAGTAGAGTCCTCTTCCCACTTTTCACACTTAAAAAGTCATTTGGGCAGGCAGGAGGGCAGTTACCGGAGCCACTGGGACACGGGAAAGAGCAAGTTTGAAGGATACTCATCTGGACCTTTTCCATTCCAATACCACCCTTCCCTTCTCCATGTGGACTTAACTTCAGATCTGGGATGTGAGGACTTTGGCCCAGCCAGCCCTGGCTTCACAGATGGAAGAGAGGGCGGGGCTAGAGAAGACAGAAAAATCAGAAATAAGTACAGCATTCTTGCTGAGAGGCAGCCAGGTGACCTAGAAAGAGTCTGGCACCAAGATGCAAGCATATGCGCTTTTGTCCTGGACCTACCATGCATCAAATCAGAGGAGAAAGAACAAGACTGCACCGGGGGGAAGAGAAGAGGCCTCGGAGTAGATGGAGGAAATGGGTATCAGTAACAAGAGCAAAGGGATAGCTGCCATTGCTGAGCCCTGGCTACGTGCCTGCCCGGCCGGGCCGAAGCACTTTGAGTGGCATCAGACGACTGAGTGGCGCTCCTTGTCCTCCACACACGCATTCTCCCCTGAGCTACATCCACCCACTCCCACACCCTTGGCACTGCCAAACCGCCTTGCCTTTGCACATCCACACCCACCCCTGGCCGCCCCTGCCCCTCTTCCTCCTCCTGGCGAACTCCTATCCGTTCTATCTTCACCAGCTCCCTCCCAGGAAGGGCTCATTCGGGGTGCCCAGCCGTTTCTAGAATCGGAACTTCCTGGAGTGGGTTACTGTTCATTTCTCTCCTACAGCCTCAGAGTGTGGCAGGGAAAGGGCGCACTGTGCCACCTACATGTCCCCGTGCAAGGCTCCTGGCACCGCCATCCCAGTGAGGCGGGAAGCACTGCCAACCCCTCAAGGCACCCGGAGCAAAGTGCAGGCAAAGTCTAGGGCTCGAGGGAAGAAAGAAGCAGATCAGGTGCCTGTTCCGAAGTCTCATCTGGGGCAGTGCCAGGGAAGGCCAGGGTGACGAGGACGGGATTCCTGCGGATCAGGCCCGCAAGGGCACCTGCAGGGGACGCGGTGGGAGAGTCCAACGTTTTCGGTGCCGGAGAGGGGCTGGCCAAGTGGTTCTGGGCCAGACCTGCTTGGAGCGTCCGCCGCTGGGAGAGCGCTTTGCGCCACCTTCCTGGAAGGGATGTCAGGGCCACGGGAAGGCTGTGCCTGAGGAGCCTGGGATCACAGAGCGGCGGGGTGGACGAGGGCGTGCTGGGGACGACGCTGCCGGGGCGGCCCGCGGCCAGCGCTCGGCT